AAAATGGAGGACATCACTGACGGGTGTAAGGAACAAAAGAGGAGCAGATAAAAATAGCGACCACTACCTAATAATCTCCAATCTGCGGATTAAGCTGAAGAAAATATAGAGTTAGCATGACATTCAAAAGATATGATGTGAGAAGATTTAAGGATAAGAAAATAAAACAAGCATTCCAATTAAAACTGTAGAACAGATTCCAGGAACTAGGAGAGATGGATGAAAATGAAACAGAACAACAGTGGTCGAAAACCATACATACTTGTACATACGCAGAAACTGCAGAAGAAATACTTAGATTCAGGAATCTCCTAAGGAAACAGAGGATGACAGACGAAACTTGGAAGAATACTGAGGAGAGAAGAGATATAAAAAGAAAACTGCTAATATGTAAGACAATGAGTTAGACGGAAGAATTACAAAGAGAATACAACAACAAAGCAAGAGAGGTAAAACACAGTGCACGTGCAGATCGAAGAAAATGAACAAGCGATCTAGCTGAAAAAGCACAGAGCTGCTAATGAAAATAATTTGAAAGAGGTATACCGAATTACTCAAAATCTTTCACGGCGGAAAATTCCCAAAAATCGACCTATGAGAAGCATAGACGGAAGAACACCATTAACAACTGCAAAGAAATAAACAGAAAGATGGCACGAGCACTTCTCAAAGGTATTAAATGGAACACAAGGCAAGGGAACAGAGAGGCAAGAGGGCGATGAAGCAAAAGAGATGGAAGACTGGGAAGAGAACAATAAAATAAATAAAGCTGAAAAAACTAAAGAATAAATCAAAATAGCACTCAAGGCACTGAAAGCAGGAAAGGCACGGGGAATAGATATTAACCCCCCCCCCCTTCCGAAATTCTAAAGGTAATCTGGAAACATCTGCAGAAATATTACACCAACTTTTTGAGAATATATGGGAAAAGAAAACTGTACCTGAAGAATGGAAAAAAAAGGACTGTTAGTTAAAATGCCAAAAAAGGAGGACACTACTCAATGCACCTCTGTCAGTACCAAGCAGAGTACTGAAAGTGTCAGTAGATTCTAAAGGGTTTTGATGATGGTGGATAACACACAGAATTACTGTTTCTTTGTTTACTTTTTCCATTGCCCGGAATTCCAGGAAATAGAAAACATGATTCGGAAACTGGATCTGTTTCCGTCTTCAGGTGAGGAAGGAAGACACCTACTCAGTTGGGCCCCTTACAAAGAGCTAATCTCAATTACTGGACCCTCACCTGAAGACGGAAACAGATCCAGTTTCCAAAACGTCGTGTTTTCTATTTCCTAGAATTCCGGACGATGAAAGAAGTCCCAAAACGCAGTAATTCTGTGTAATAAAAAGTGTTACTGAAAGATGACTATGAAAAGAACAAGCTGGGTTTCGAGGCAATAGACCCCATGTAGACCAAATTAATATGCTTCGTATTATTACAGAACAGAGCATGGAATACAATAATAACCTGTATTTAATGTTTATTGACTCTGAGAAGGCATTTGATCCATAAATAGAACCAAGATGTGGCACATCATGAACAAATTTGGAGTTCCCAAACATATCATTGATCTTGTCAAGCAAAGCTATAATGGAGACACATGACAGGTGGCACAAGATGGTGGGCTGTCAGAACCAATTCCAACTACAGCAGGAGTAAAGCAAGGATGCATTCTTTCACCAATGCTATTCTCATAGTGATGGATGAAGTAATAAGAAATGCAACAGGGGGAGGAAAGAGAGGAATAACTTGGCGTCTTTCTTAACAGTTAGAGGACTCATGACTTTGCAGACGATATCTGTCTCCTATATCATACATTTTATAATATGGGGAAAAATTGAGAGAACTAGAAAATAAAAGGAAAGCTGTGGGACTGAAGAGAAATACTGCCTAGACAAAAACTATTCCGCGACTTGCACACGGCTTTCAACTTTCCGTATGTATACGATTATATAACAAAATTGTGCAGACAACAAGCAGAAGTCATATAAAATCATGATAATAAACATTTTCGCGGTATAGGACAAGGTGAAGCCAGACACAGAAAATATAACAGGCTTAAACTTGGCGGTGGTCAAGCTTATGACCGTTCAAATGACTAAGTTGTCATTGTAGCATAAGATCTGTAAGTTAGGAATGACCTGCTCTATAAGGCCTGTACTGACAGAGGACTTGTGTGCAAAGCAAAAGGAAGGGTTTTCAATAACATATTATATGTGCGAAATATACACTTGATGAAAGGTCGAGTGTATTCATAAGAGACAGACCCATCTTCTCATCAGAGAGAATGTTACATAGGGATTATCACCGCAAGAGTTCAGTTGGAGGAAAAAATCTCTGGTCGTGATCCTCANCCTGCTCTATAAGGCCTGTACTGACAGAGGACTTGTGTGCAAAGCAAAAGGAAGGGTTTTCAATAACATATTATATGTGCGAAATATACACTTGACAAAAGGTCGAGTGTGTTCATAAGACAGACCCATCTTCCCATCAGAGAGAATGTTACACAAGGATTATGCCCGCAAGAGTTCAGTTGGAGGAAAAAATCTCTGGTCGTGATCCTCAAGGGGCCTGACGCCAAGACGAACTGATTGGCGGTAAACCGCCAGTCATAAAGTAACTCTGACTCTGACTGGCAGGCAGTCAGTTCAGAATTCTCTGTAGCAGACAGTCATGTAAAGTTCGTCGTACAAGAAAAATAAGAAGTCGGCCTGTGAAGACTTGGTGTATGATTAGAAAATTTAGTCACAGAGAGACTGTTTTCATTTCCGTTGCCAGGATGCGGCTAGATCTAAGATCCACAAGCTAATTAATTATATTTGGCATTAGGAAAAATTGTGTACCAGTTCACAAGAAGGATGACAAGACTGACTGTAGAAATTACCGAGGGATATCACTGCTATCAACTTCATATAAAATTTTATCCAATATTCTTGTCGCAATGTAAAGTCCATACACAGATGAAATTATTGGGGATCATCAGTGTGGGTTTTGACATAACAGATCAACTACTGATCAGCTCTTTTGCATTAATCAGATAACTGGAGAAAATGGGAATAGAATAAGAGTACATCAGCAATTCATAGACTTCAAGAAAGCCTATGATTCAGTTAGGAGGGAAGTATTGTACAATATTCTCAGAGTTAGGGATACCCATGAAACTAGACAGGCTGATTAAAATGTGTTTAAAAGACACTCCTGATAAATTTCCTATCCAGAATGGTCTAAAACAAGGAGATGCTTTATCACCACTCCTTTTCAAGTATGCTTTTAGAATATGCCATTAGGAAGGTCTAGGAAAACCAGGCGGGACTGAAATTGAATGGAACACATCAGCTGTTGGTCTATGCTGATGATGTGAATCTACTCGGTGATAATATAGATACCATAATGAGAAACTTAAAAACTTTTAACTGACACAAGTAAGGAGGTTGGTCTAGAAGTAAACACAGAGAAAAGTAAATATATGTTGCTGTCTCGTAAATAAATATAGAGGAAAATCATTACATAAAGATAGATAACAGTTGTTTTGAAAATGTGGACAATTGAAATATTTGGGAACAACGATAACAAACGAAAAACTAATTAAGTGGAGACTGAACTCGGGCAATGCTTGCTACCATTCAGTACACAACCTTTTGTCTGCTGTCCAAAAATATAAAAATTAGAATATACAAAACTATAATTTTGCCTACAGTTCTGCTGACAGAGCAGTATGAAAATTTGTATCTTATCTTCGAATTTGAGGTCCTACAAGATCCACTAATAAAGAAAAACTTTCAATGCTCATTCTGTAAAATGATTTGAACAGTTCTGTATCCTGATTAAATTCTTTCAAAACAATATATACACCTGAGTTTAAATTGTCGTGAAGGAACGGGTGCACCAAATGTTTCCGTTTCTCCTGTCTTCTCCTCTTACGCTGTCTCAACCACCACCATATAATTACAGGAACAATATTATTATCTGACACTGCAGAAGTGAAGTGCACGAAACTGGCGGGCAAACACGCCCACTTGAGATGATGTGAGCAACTAATAGAACGTAAGTTTCCTCAGTGTGCGACTGGTAATTTGAAAACCAGTTGTCTGCTTGAAATTGAGGTTTCTCAAAATCTATAGTTGCATTGTAGTTGCCAGTTTCTTTAGTGTGTACTCTAAGGCCGGGGGCACACCAAGGAAACTGGCAACCGCAACGCAACCACGATTTCCGTGAAATATCGCAGATTTCAAGGAGGCAACTGGTTTCCAAATTAGCAGGCGCCCACTGAGGAAACTTACGTTTGATTAGTTGCTCACACCTCAAGTGGGTGTGTTTGCCCGCCAAATTCCTTACTTCAGTCAATAACTTCACAACAAGAACATCGTTTTCATAATGGTATATTGGGTTTCTGGACTTTATCCATCGTCCTGGTCCACAAACCCAATATATCAGTGTGTTATACACCATCGTCAGAATCCTATAGTAACTAATCGTTTTCATAAGTTTCACACTCCTTCTCAGTCACAATTATCCAATATCCCTAATTACTTGCTCTGTAGACAATTGCACAGACGATGTAAACGTTCCTTTTGTGGAACAGCAGCAATAAAATGCAAATATCTAAATCTTTTATTTCCAATAACATTCCTCTACGGTGAGCAGCTCTTGCTCAATTAATTCCTCACAGAACCTTCGGCAGATTCATCAAACTTTTGGTGCCATATTACAAAACACGCGAATCTACGCGGCAACTCAATCGAATTCAAATCGTGTGGAGACTGGCATGCTCCGTTGCCTGGAAATTGAGTTTCTCAGTCTCCCTGCAAGTTGCTTTTCCGTTTCCTCAATTTGCGCTGCCCAATTTACTAACATGTGTTCAACTCGGGCTGATAACACTTCTCGGAAATCACAGTTGCGTTTCAGTGGCCAGTTTCCTTGGTGTGCGCCCGGCCTTAGTTGTGTTCCTACACAATCTTTAGAATAAATAATGCGGATAGATACTCAGGTTTCTACGCCAATGCAGTCGTCTACACACATTCGAATTGTAACAATCGAAATATTCGATAGTTCTCATTCGATTGTCCTCATCATTACTCGCTAATGCGCATCAGTTGAGATTCATTATTGTACGAAGCGTTTTATGTGGTAACGAACGAATGACCGCTCTTCAGGTTATGAAACATGTGAGCATGAATAAATAGTTATGTAACTGTACAACATGTGGGTATATCCTGTAAAAGTTATACAGAGGACGGCCATTTTATTGATGTTCGCCGCCTATAGTCGGTCCCACACAACTGATATAAGTCTGTTTGGACCGCATTAAAACTTTAACCTTGAAAGCCTATGAAATCAGCATGGTACAGCCAAGATAGTGCTTAATACCTGTTAAACTGGGTGATATCTACCAAATAGTTTTTCCATTGTACAGTTATTAATTTCTCTGACTGGAGTTTGGAGTTAATCGTAGCCAGGGTTGCAATTAAGAAATTAATGTGAAGTTATAAATTACCATACATTGAGAACTGTTAATCACAAAATAAAAATACTACCTTTAGAATGCTACATCCCATACTAATGTAAAGAGTAATTTATGAAAACAGTGTTTTCTTAAATTTATATCAGTTCAGTTTTGTCTGAATCACCCAACTTCAACCACTTGTCTCCAGTTACTATCTCTGACAATATGTTTTTCTTCTCAGGTTTCAATAACTTCTAAACAACTGGGACTTACATCAGATCACTGACTTTTATAATGCCCAAACACCACCAGCCAATGACTCTGCTTTCACTGTGTCACACCCAAGTTTCAACAAACTTGGTTTCAACTTGCCGTTTACTCCAGCTTACTGCCCAGGATTCATCAGCTGCACATGCCTTAACACTAGCTCGCCGTAGGTTTCGTCCAAATCTGCTCTTGTCTCTGCCTGGTCTTATACGATCGCAGCTGATTGAAGAAGTGTCAAAACTTTTATCTGCACCAGCACCTGATGGCAGTGTGGGGGGAGCAGGCCCTGCACCACTCTATCTCCTTGCACTATTACTTGCACCAGATGTCCATCAACTAAGAGTAGAATTATGCTGTTACTATGGATGCAGCCATCAGGCAGCTCTGTTGCGTCTCTTGGCATCAGAAGGCTGTGGATTAGAAACCTTGGAACTTGCTCGTTCAGCCCTGCTGCGCTTAGATCGCAGTCTGCTGCATGATGCTCTGATATCAGCCACCTCACTTCGACACCTTATTCTTCGTAACATAGCTGGTGATGCAGTTCTACAAGTTATTGGAACAGCATGTCCTTGTCTTGTTGTACTTGATGTATCTCAATCAAGACAAGTGACAGATGCTGGACTTCGAAACCTCTTCCTTCAAGTAGAACTTCGTGATAAAGCTTCGCCATCTTCTGCAGCAGGAAAATGTGAGATATCTAACTTAGAACAATGTGTAAATTCAAATGGAGGATGTAGTGGCAGAAGTTGGGGAAGATTAAGAATCTTGCTTCGACTTTTCCCACGATTAAGGTTAAATCGTGAAGGTGAAAATAAGATGAGAGATCGATCATTTCTTCTCGAGTACTGTGAACTCCGTAATCCTCTCTGTAATACTCTTAGAATCCTTAATATTGCCAATACAGGTGTCACTGCTGCAGGGATTCTGTTAGCTCTACATCATGTGCCTCGGATACAGTCTCTAGGTGATTATGGACACATGGGAAGAGCACTTGAAATATTAGACAGAGCATGGACTGCATCAACAGGAAACAGTGATCCTCCATCACCACCCAGCTTCAGTCTAATTTCAGCAAGATGCCAACGAACCACGATAAGACGACTTGAATTGCTCTCACTTTCTTGTCCCGCATTGCAGAAGCTTACCATTTATGAACCCCATCACCCACCCTCAGCACTACATGTATTCCCCCCCACACTTACTACCCTTCACCTCCTCAGCATTCCCTCTGATGTAGATTGGATTACTGGACTTTATTCCTTCCTGGCAACTCCACATGGGTCACACTTACATGACCTTGCATTACGCTTTTCCCTCAGTGAACAATATATTTCACTGGACCTTAGCCAAATCTTAAAATCGTGCCCCAATCTCCACACATTAGCAGAAGATGGTGCAGATGTTGACTGGAAGAAGGAATTTGAAGATGACACATTGAGTGTTATCCCACCATTAATAAACTTGAGGAGCATTCAGCTGGGACGTATAGTGACAGCACACGCATTGACTGAACTGCTGAAGCGGGCACCTGCTCTCAAAATTGCACACTTCTACAGATGCCCTGACCTGACTGATGAACATTTAATTAGCCTTACTGCCAAACCATCTAATACTAGTCATTGCTACTGGCAGGAGAATCAGAATTCACCTGCACATCCCTGTCTGTCTCAGCACATTGAGTGTTTTTACATCTATGAGGCCTCCCACATAACTGCACCCGCAGTAGTTACCTTACTTGCACGTTGTGATAATCTTTTACGAACTGGCAACCTAAGTAATTGGGGTCTTGACTGTGAGGGAATACGGTGGATACACAGCACAATATTGGACAACAATCTCAATTTAGAAATCAACCCAGGATCGCACTGGTTCTGTTCTCAGTGTTTTCCAATCTCATGACACAAGGTACTCACTCCTGTTCTCTGTGCAGGGAAATGTTAGAAAATATATGAATTTATTGCATTTTTTAGTTGGTATTTAATGATAGTGTCAGTTTCGAGACTATGTAGAGATGGTATTAAATTTTTGTTCTTCAAGCATATAAGAACCTTACTATAAATGTCACATTTTTAAGCTCTGTTATATGTCAGTTGTGCCATTAATGTATCAGCTGCTATAAAAATTACAGTTGTCACTTGTAGTTCAATATAATTTTAGCTGATTCTTCCAGTGCCTGTAAGGTTCAGGTGTTGTATACAACATACTGGAGATTATTTATTCAATTACTGCCTCTCAAAACTGGCTAATATGAAAATAGTGCTCTGTGTCAAAGCCTGTACACCTCATTTCCACATATGATTGTTGAAAGTGTGTATCATTTCAACATACTTTTGAAATTCAAACTGCTGTCGTCAATTTTGGCATATTTTGCAAGACTGAAATAAGATATAAATAAAATGAATATTTGTTAAATAGTTTCACATAACAGGACATTTTAAAGTATTCATTTAATGTTAATGTAAGAATTTACAGCATTTTAGTTTGTTCAAAGGCGTTTATTTTGTATTCAGCTTCTTTTCATTCATATTTTTATATAGTGTGGTGGTAGATAACTGGTCCGATATATCCTGGACCTTTCTTTTTAGTGCTTCGAGCACTGAATCCACTTCTAACTTGAACAGAAAAAGAAATTTTGAACACAAATCATATGCACAAATTTTTCACTATCTGTATATTCCAGTAACGGCAAAATTTTTGTGTGTCCATACATGCCAAAGAGATTCTATGTTATTATAAACTGAAGAAGCATAAGCCATGGTTTGACGAAAGATGCCCAAAATTGAGATAAAAGGAAACAAGCCAAATGAACGGGGATAACCTGAAGAATATAAGAAGTAAAGCCAGCAGACATTTCAGGAATAAAAAGAGGAAATTTCTGAAAGACAAAATCAGTGACATTGCAACAGAGAATAAGAACAAGAACATCAGAGACTCAGGTAGCATAATAAATGAATTTAAGAAGGGTTGCCAACCTAAAACTACCTTAGCAAAGGATCAGAATGGTAATCTGCTTGTAGACTTAATGGAAGAATTATAGTTCAAGCGGTTAGTCACTGGTTTCCCACTGCAGTGGCCCAGTCTGGTCAAGTGGGATTTGTGGTGGACAACGTGGTGCTGGGGCAGGTTTTCTCAGAGTACTTCGGTTTCCCCTGCCAATCTTCATTCCACCAAGTTCTCCATCATCATAATCATCCGGGCAGGCTACAATAGGCCAATCAGTGGCTGCTGTGCCAAGTGGACCCAGTCTGACTCCACACCCCACTAAGCAAATTAAAAAATGGGCCTAACAGAGTTGGTGTCCTCCACCCATCGCATGAGGATGGAAACAGATCAAGTTTCTAAACATTTTTTAGTGTTTTTCAGAATAACTGATCATGGATGAAGTCCAAAAACTTAGTAATCCTGAATTCTGCCATGTATTTTTGTGGATGTGAAACCTGTCATCTTATTATGTGGGAAATATATATAGGTGCCTAAAAATAAAATACTAAGTTAAATATATGGACCTAATAGGGAGGAGGTGGATAATTTATGACAGTACATAACAGCAAACGTCATGATTTACATGTCACCTAGTACTAACTGCTCTTGTATGAAACAATTAAAGAAATGTAAAATTAGGGCTCCAGGAAAAAAGTTAATCCTACTTGCTACTTAATAAAATATGTTCACTTCAGATGCAATATGCCTCATACAAATATTTTTACAGGAGATATTTAAAAACTCAATATTAAATGGTAAGATCCAGGGATAAATATAATACATTCATTCATTTGCTTTCTGCATTTTACACATGATAGTAAATAATTCTCTTTGTTAAATTTTCAATACAATTAGATCACAGCTGAAAATGATCTAACCACCAAACAACAACAAGCGATTAAGCCCATTTCTGGAGCCCTACATATGGGTAATAATATTTCCGATGTCATGCACCTTTTGACAACGACCTGAGACCAATATATTATAAATAATGAAGACAAAACCATTTTCCTACTTACTTCTCTCATGCCATGGGAATGGAGAACAGCAGACAGCAGTTTGGTTTCTGCTTGGATTGTCCTGTATGTCATATGAAGCTCATGTGCTGGAGGATGAACAGGGGGGTCCGAAAGGGCACTGCATCGGAACCTCAGCACTGTATTTCTTGCACCTAATGGTCCTCCCATTACCCAGTAATCATGAGAAGCTGCTGAGTCCAAGCTATTGCCAACATGAAACAGAAAAACTAACATTATATGTATCTATATAAGAAAGTGTTTTTGAGAATGGTGAATGATTGAAATGAGTTTGTTGGAATGTGCCAGGCTTTATACATGAAACTAACATATGAGTACATAAATTGTCATTTCTGGTCTCATTCTATTAACTGCCCCATTTGATATAAATTGTACACTGATGGTAGCAGCTGAGATTGGTCCCTTTCAATGCTAATCTTGCATTCCAGTAGACTAAGCTATGTTTCTCAGCCGTGACAAAATTTCATTCAGACAAAAACAGTAATCCACATACAAGGTCGTCAATTTAATTCCCAGAATAGCCCTGTGAAAGCAAAATTTGCTTACTCATGCACTAGCAGCTGCTCTCGCCTTCGAAATAGTCTTGTGAACCTATGCACTTCATGAGACAATGGTGTCACTGCCAGAAAAGGTCTTGAAAACTGTCTTCTGGAATACCTCACAGTAATGTTGGCAGACTGCGTTGCATGTCAGGAATGTCAGCAAATCTATGTCCCTTTAAGGGATTTTTTAATTTTGGAAAGAGCCAAAAATTACAGGGGTTAAGTCAGGTGAATAAAGTGAATGGTCCATTTTTGTAATAGATTTCTTAGCCAGGAACTCGCGAACTCTTTAACGTATCATGTGCAGGGCATTGTCATGATGGAGAATCCACTTGTCAGGCCAGAGTTCAGGTCTTTTCTCCTAAGAGATTCCTGTAACCTTGCCAGCACTTCCAAATAACACTGCTGATTCACCATTTGTTTGTACTCTGTCCACTACTGTCTCTCTCCTTCGCGTTTTAGGCTTCCCACTTCTTGGGTCACCTTGCACATCATCTCGCTCGTCCTAGAATTGCCTATGCCATTCAAATACATTTGATTTCTTCATAGCATATTCACCACAAGTCACTGTTAATAGGGCTAACATTTCACTTTTACCAATCTTCGAACAAAACCCGATGTTTATCCACTGCTCCAGATTCTTGTCACTCATTTTTCCGCCAACAGTATACCACAGACACATACTACTTCCTCTGCTGCTTGGGAATGAAAGACTCATTTGATCTGTGGCTCATGTAAATGCAAGCTGGAACATCCCCAAACGTGCTTGAGTACATGAGATTGCCTGACTCAACACCCCAGCGACATGCTGTGGCCATTCCAGGAATTAAATTGTTGGACGTTGCACAACCATTCACTAATAAACTAAAGTTTTAATATATTTTTACTGGATTTCCAGTAAACTGTCCCAAAGCAGGCGTTTTGTCTACTTTTCTGCATGTGGCTGTCCCCGCAATGTTTCTACCCGCACTTTCGTCAGAGCTACTGTCACTTTCACTTTCACTGTCTGTGACCACAATTTTTTGTTTGCCCCTGCCACACTCACTATCAAGATTGTGAGTCACTATCACTAGCAGACTCACAAGGGACATCAGATAGCTCATCGGAGAACAAGTCAGATATTTCTTGTTCTCTGGGAAAATGCTTGGACCTCAACCTCTTCCGACCTTGATCCATTTTGCGCTAGTAACTTCCTGCCTGGTGCATGCAGCTGGAAGATGAACAAAGGCATTTTCTTTTGGAGTGAGAAAGGAAAACAGATGGGTCATAAACAGCGGGGTCATGTTACTGACTACGAAGCAAACATTCGAGAGGTCTATCATGCACCAGTCATGCGTCTGCCTGGCGCCAGTGCAAGGTATAGTGTGTTTGAACATAACATGTCCTAAAGTCATAATAATATGCCACCGGTCCACCACGTTTAAAAGCGCTGGGCATAAAAATATGCCACTGGTCCGCAAAGTGTTAACTTGTTTTCCATTAAGATAATTTTGTTGTTTAAGTGTGTGCAAACCCCAGTCCCTTTTCTAAAGAACTTCCACAGTATGCATGACAAAGCACAGAGTATTCTGATAAAAACTTACTTCTCAGGCTTCTTTTTCATCTGATGAACCAATGGTAGTTCCTTCAGCTTCAGTTCTCCAACCTTCTCCGTTGAGTTCACCATCTTACTGAGTATGCCATCATCATGGTCACTATCTTTCTGAAGCTCGGCTTCATTTTCAACTGAGTGAGATTTTCTCAGTTTTGAGGTGTCCATAATTCAAAACTACAAAAGAAATTATCAAGTTACACTCAAATACTACTTTTGTTCTTCTAAGCCCAGCACCTCTGGTAAAACATCACAGTGCAGTGGTTGGTAAACCTGCTTCATATTTGAAAGGACATAACTTTGGAACTATGACCGATGACTGGCTATATCAACTCTGAATTCATTGTGGTTTACCCTAATCCCTTCAAGAAAGTGCTGGAATCATACTCATCTATGGGTTCACATCTACAAGTGTCATCCTGTGACAGCCTTCTCTATTCTCTCACACTCCATAAAACAATTCTCTTGTTAGCATCCACTCATTCACAGCACTCTTTCATATACCATCTTTCACTGGATCCATGGTCTCTCTACTGGTTAATTACACAATATTTTCATTTCTCTTCATGGACAGCTCAGCAGCTCAGACAAACAATGCAGCTGCCTGAGGCAGCATGATTCTAAAGGTGGTACATTTTACAAATCCCACTTCATATTTTTAATGGAAATCAATTTCTGCTGCTCTGTTGTTCAGATCACCACAATTAATTGACATAATCTATAAACTGTGTGCAACAACGTAAATAAAACTGTTTTGAGAATTGTGACACTAATAATATTTTTCGACACGTGTGGAAATTTTGTGTTATTAATTGTGACAAAGTTCTAAGAAACTTGAACTGTTTTGGGGAGGGATTTCACATCTCCCAGGGCTGAAATTAAGTTAGAGCTGGCTCTGCTTCTGATGGTCTTAAAGAAATCTTTTCATCTGTGTATGAATATGTTCATACCACATTAGTCTTAATCTTACAACAAATTTTAATAATACAATGCAGGGATACTACATTAAATGACCAAAACAATAAAACTACCTACAAAAAGTCAACAAGTCAAATTATATGGGTAGTTCTTTCATCTTTCATTATGCACACAAACAAGGTTCATTGTTAGAATATAACTGATTATTATCAACATTAGTTTTTCCATTCACCAAGTCCTAATGGCACCATGGGTTCCCCTCTACACAACAGCTAACTTCATGGACCTGAGCCCTTCTTGGGAAGCCGCCAGTTGTGCAGCTACTGAAGAACTTCCCAGCATTTTATGGAACATGAGGATTCATCATGTTGTTCACAAGGGCCTTCCACTGATCCCCATCCTGAGCAAGATGAATCCATTCCATACCATTCCATCCTATCTCTCCAAGATCCATTTTAATATTGTCCACCCACCTATGTCTTGGTCTTCCTAATTGTCTCTTTCCTTCTGGCTTTCCCACTCAATATCATTTATCCACTCCTCTTCGACCATATTCATGCTGCATGCCCTGCCCATCTCATCCTCCTTGACTTGATCATTCTAATTATACTTGGTGAAGAGTGCAAGTTATGAAGCTCCTCATTAAACTTTTCTAAAACTGAATTTGTCAAGTTTAATACAAAAAATATGCATGAACATGAGATGAAAATAGTATATGATAACATGGAAATACCCAACTCAACCCATTTAAAGTTCTTGGGGGTTAATATTGCAAATACTCTGACATGGAAAACTCATATTGACTCACTTATCGCGAAACTTAGCTCTGTGTGCTATGCAATCCGAGTCATAACACCGTTTGTGAATCAGGAAACTTTGCTGATGGTTTATTATGCCTATTTTCACTCTTTTATTCAATATGGCATTATTTTTGGGGGTAACTCTTCGTACGCTATCAATGTCTTTTGTTTACAAAAGAGGGCGGTGAGACTAATAACTGGTGCTGGTAATAGAAACTAATGTAAAACGATATTCACTACTCTTAAATTTCTTACTCTTTCAACTTTGTATATTTATTCACTACTATCTTTTGTGGTCGATAGCATAGCTCAATATTATTTTGCATTTGATATACATAATAGAGACACTAGACAGGTATTGAACCTAAATCTATATCAAGCCTCAACTCATTTACCATTATATAAAAATGGCCCATATATCATGGGCATCAAACTATTCAATTGTCTCCCATTAAATTTGAAGCAATTATATAATGATATAAAACGGTTTAAATTAAAATTAAAAGAATTCTTGAGTTGTCACCCATTTTATACTGTGGATGAATTTTTTGTATATATTAGTCGGTAAGATTAATCGTATTCCGCTTCTATTCTTATGTCTTGACTTAGTTCTTTGTACTGCTTATTTATCTAATATGACCTTTCCACATCTTAAAGTATTTGGATTTTATAGAAATAATAGATGAGTAATGAAAATGAAAAAAGAGCTTGTAATGACGCCTGAAACCTTTGAGAGTTCTTTGTCTTGGTTCTGCATTGTTTTTGTAAAATGGGGGAGTTTTGTTGTATATATGGTTGATGTGTTCCTTTTTATTGTTTTATATTATGAATGCCTTGACTTGTTCCTGTGGGAATGGAATGTTTGTTTTTCGATCTGTGACTCATTCTATATCCAATGGTTGTTTCTCAGCCTGCATCTGGATCTATTTTGAATTTGAAATAAATTGAATTGAATTGAAGATCATACCATGTTGCCAGCTGTAATTCATATCATTATTTGGTACATGTTAGTTTTAGATGTCGCATTAATATAAGCAGGCCAATAACAGGACTGGTAAAACCAAAAATTAACACAGAGAACCCTAATGACCCCAGAAAGCCAAAAGAGCTACAAATAATTAACAAAGGGAACTTTACATCTGGGGACATAAATACTGAAAGTACAATTGAGCAAATTTGGTAGAAGGTGAAAACAAACATATTGCCAGCACACAACACACAAGAAAACCCAGGCCTACTGAGAGCAGTTACAACACTCAGCCATAAAAAGAACAGTGCTCAAGATTCGATCCTGACAAGATATGTAGGAAAAAGAAGTGCAGATTTATGAATGGCCAATTCCTTTTTATGGAGAGAAATGTTATAGAAGATAATACAATGCAAGCTTTTAGAGAAGTTAAATTATATAAAAAAGGCTTTAAATCTTGGACTGATCTATGTAAAGATAAACAGGGGAAAATAATCAGTGACATTACAGAAATTAAAAATAGATGGAAGGAACATTTTCAACAATTTCTCCAATCAAAAGCAAATAACATTCATCATAATTCATAATCTACCCTAAAAACATATCACAGAATACGGGTTGAAACCCTACATTAAATGAAATTAAGGAGGCAATCAAAGTGCAAAAATCCTATTAGGCTCCTAGCATAGATTGAATCCCAACAGAGCTCTTGAAGAAAGGAGCAAAATCCTTACAACAAACATTGCACCAGCTCATATGTAATATATGGAATGAAGAGGAAATACCTTGTGACTGGGGGAATAGTATAATCTGCTGTATCTATAAGAAAGGGGAAAAATTAATGAGTGAAATTATAGAGGAATCTCCCTTCCATCTACCACACATAAAATAATAACTTATGAGGAATATCTACCATGGACTATACATTTACTATGAAACAGATATCCATAAAACTATGGGAACACTATGTGGACTTATTTCAGATATTCATAGATTTCTGACAGGCCTATGACCACAATGACAGAGAATCGATGCCCCGTTTTCATATACCATATATATATATAAATGTATCTCAAAGGCCGCGCCATAGCTTAAGCGGTTAGTTGCTGGCTTCCCACTGCTGCGGTCTAGTTAAGTGGGA